TAGTCTATCACGTGACATGAAGTGAACATTTCAGGGGTATAGAAAAGTGAAGAAAATACGGTATGTTCTCAGCAACTTAAACAACAACAGAGCGTGTAAAGAGATCCTGGTTAGTAGTAAGTAAAACATGCCTGAATTCCAGCAAAACATTTGGACGTTTCCATGACGTTAAGGAAAATAGGTTGGCTAAAAGTTGGTCAAACACAAGTTGTTGCAGAAGTCTTAAAAAGTGTGGTTGGTAAGATGTGGACTCGTTATTATACCACCAGTACAGTTAGCCCGAGCGCTGGACAAGGTGGACTACAACCACGCAAAATAACGGTTATTTTATAATATGGGCTCGAAGCAAATGACAGATCTCAGCTCCACAAATCAATTAACAGTTCAGAGCAGCAACTCGACTACGAATCTCCATGCGAACGCTAAGAATGACATTTCATAAGGATTGGTCTACTAAAGGCGTAGTTCCTCTATCTCATCGTCACGAAACAGCTCGTTTTCATAAATGTCAAGAACAAGTGGTTTGATCAAATGACACGAGGACGAATACCTTGCTTACAGATACTCAACGCTTCACATTGCAGCCATATGTCCGCATTTGAAGGGTGCTCTGGACCAGATCCACCCCTCAGTTTTATGGTGGAAAGGTACAAATACGGCGGTGGCGCATACTGGTTTTCGCACGAATCAATATTGTTAGCCACACTGACTTTTATGTGTTACGACATGGCACCACGAGTCAATTCTTACAACGACTACTGTTACCATATGCTAGTGCAGTTGGTGTGAATTTTCTTCTAGTGAATGATAACGTAAACCCCACCATGCTCACTAGTTATTAAAGTACTGTAAAAAGAAGATTCCGAGCGAATGGACTCGCCAGCACGCTCACCGGAAATGAATGTGATTGAACAGCAAAAAATGGATGATCTAGAAAGACACTTGACATCACGTGATTTATCTCCAAGCAGTGTTGATAGACCGGAAGTAACTATGATAGAAGAACGAGCTATATTATTCCAGCAGCATCGCTGTACAATTTCTAATAGCATCTGGGGTGGCCTTGGTAACAAATGATTTCTGATTACGTTTTGGGCTAAAATTATGTTCTCTTAAATGAGAATAGGTGGATATGAACTCTAATAGTAAATATTTGCACATCAAAACATATGATGGGCCCCTGACGCTTGCTTTGCATCAAAATAAACGCAGGGATCTAGTTAAATTTATATTAAGAACAGTACATTTCATGGTTAAAAGTATAGAAATGCTGATTATTCCATAATTATTTGAGTATTATAGTTCAAAATTACGTTCTTGAATTACTTATTTTTATTTTTTGTCTCGTGAGATGGAATTTCATTAACAGTTACACTATAGTATGTTTAATAAAGTGGAAAATGAAGTTTATGTACTCTGTTGCAAGGAAAATAAAGGATGACAAGCTACAGACTAAAACAATGTGAGTAGTTAAGGCGATTTTCCTGTGTCTATTGGATACTACCTCAGTGGGAGGTCGCCATGTGAGTGGAGATGAAAGGATGCCGCCTGATGGTTACATAACTTTTACATAATATACCATCGCCTGTGGTTACTCGCCTGTTACGTAACAGACAAAGGATGCCGCCTGAGGATTACATAACTCTTTCATAATATACCATCGCCCGTGGTTACGCACCTGTTACGTAACATACAAAGGATGTCAACACTTGATAGTTATATAACTATTACATAATATGCAAATTATACCGACTCATGAGTGTTATATAGGTGCTATGTAGTACACACCAGAGGACGATGACGTCTACAAAGTGGGACCAGAAGGTGTAGCTATCTTTGGGAGAAGCTGATATCATAGTTCGATACTAGAAGATATGTTACTACAGGTGGACGGGTTACTAAGGCTTATAGGCGGGTTTTGTTTCTATAGACATATGGTGTTATTGAGGTTCTATAGATGGATGCTGTTACTACAGGCAAACGGTGTTACTATGGTCTATAAATGGATGTTGTTATTAAGGTAGGATGAATTTTTGGCGATCACAACTCTACATATCATGACTGTTTCATAGTTGACGTTAGGGTTTAAATATGCTATTCCTCTACCTATATAACAATGATTTTTATTATTCTTGAGAAAATATTTCATTTTACACATGTTACTTTATAGTTTCACTTACATACGTTTTACAAAAACGAATGGTGTTTCTGTAGGCAGATAGAATTACTATAGGCGGATGATGCTAGTAGGTGTATTTAGTTAATGATTAATTTTAGACATTTATCATGTAATCATATGTTAAGACACTCTGTAACGAGAGCATCATTGAGGCATAGCAACATGCTTTCTGGACAACTTCCGCCTGTCATGGCTGGCCTGGAACTATGACTCCAACGTCTCTGATGTTGTTCTATGTGATAGTGAATATTGTGTTGGTTTGCTAGTGTGTGTGTGTTGTTAAACACAAAAATATACAATGGGCTATCCGTGCTATGCCTACCGCGAGCATAAAAACCCGAATTTTAGGATTTTAAGCCTTCATTCTTAACACTGAGCCATGGGGGAGGGGGTAAGATGATGAACTGATTAATGGTATACAAAACATTATCACAGAAAATACAAAATAAAAACGAAGATGAACTAGTCGTTTCTATATGAGCTCTTTCCTTTACATATATACTCGTATATCACTACACCATGTTTTAATAGTGCCATACAGTTTATCATTGTACCATTGTAGAATATTACTCCAAATGTCCTGTATTGCTTCCCACAATACACTAGCTTTCCAAAAGGCTCTCAAATGACAAGAATTTAAGTTGTTAAGATGGTCGACTAGCAATATTGTTTGAACAAAGGCCAAGAGTTCACGGTTAAACCTTACTAGCTGATACTGAAACACTACCATCAACTGTATGAGTTTTCTAAGTTTGTCTTAATTTGAATTGTATCCAAGCGAATATTATGACAAACTCAATGAAGAACCGTTTTCATAAAACTGGTCCAATTAGTTCCAATGTAAATGAGAAAGGAATTTATGAGACGTGCTCGATTTTGTGATAGCAAAGATCAAATCTCACCTGATAGTAAGAAGAACTAAGATATTATGTAAGCCTACAAGAACCTTATGGCAAAGAAACATTTGAAAGTATTGTGTAAACTGAACATTTTTTATGAATCTGAACAAAACCTTCTTTGGTTTAGCTAATGTTTTTTTTTCTTAGCTAAACTACAAAAATTTGCATTTTGTTGTCACCCAGATTTTGCAGATCCGTCTCTGAACAAAGGAGGCCAATTTGAATGCATTTTTCTTCCAAAATCCCATCACACTGAATGGACGCTGCTATTATGTCGGATGATGCTTGAACTGACATCTATACATTCATAATTTCAATTTGTGTGACAATCTATGTCATACTGAATCATTTAAATTAGTGTTTGGTCGTATTTTTTACTTCTTAATTTTGAAATAAACTCATACAGACTCGAGAATGCTTATGTCACGATTAGTGGAAGCCAAGCCATGGTTGCAATGTTCCATTTGCTTCTTATCGCCAATATATCATTTCCCCACATTTGAAGAGTGCATGGGATCATTATATAGCCGGAAGATCCACTCGCCCATCCAGTGCTCAATGTTCGGATATTGTTGACTCACTCTTGACTTTTTTCGTACTTATCCTGTTATTAATACCACTCTTAAGTTCTTCTGGACACAGTATGAACATCAAGGGTTCATTGTTGGCTCAAGGTCTGACTGATAGTACGTTGCATTAAAATCAATATTTGCTTCTGAGCAAGCTACCTACAAGTACAAGAACTAAAAACATACCTAGTGATGAGTATAGCTAATTAAATATAATATTCATATTATGTTACTTATAATGATTAGAACGCATTGTTTCATCAGTTGGGTACCCTTGCTGTTAACGACATTTTCTGAAAAAAAAAGGATTCTAGCATATTATTAGATAAGTACAACCTGTTTTAACATACAAAGTTTATTATAACATCACCGCACTTCAGAAATTATTTATGAAGTGAAGAGGGAGTTTGAGTAAACATGTTTTCCGTTGTTGTTTTTTGTGTAAGATAACAGACGAAGTCATTCAAATATGGTATTTAATTTCATTAATATGTTCTTATTACGAGCGCCATCATATATAATATCTCACTTAACAAGTTGCGTAGACGCTATAAAACGTGATTTTACAATTTTTTACTGAATTAAAAATAACGTAATTTTCTGTCCTAAAAGCGGTATAGCATCTATGTTTTTTTTTGTTAGCCATACTACTATGTCTACGAATTAGTGCGTGTTCTATAATCTAGATTACATTCTTCTATATACGATATATATCATCTTCCCCCAATGTCCATTGATAATAACTGTTTCGCTGTAATTACAAATATAAGCACATTGTGTGTGAGCCTATTGTAATGAGCACGTAGAAAACTGTACAATGTTTAAAAAAATATGTTTTTAATCATTTCTTGGCGTAGTGGTTAGGGCGTTCGATTTGCAATCTGAGGTTCGAATCCCTATCACTGAACATGCTCGCACATTTAGCCATGAGAGCGTTATAACGTGACGGTCAATCCTACTATTCTCTAATGAAAGAGTAGCCCAAGAGTTGGCGGTGCTAAATTAGGGACGGCTAGCGCAGATAATCTTCGTGTAGCTTTGCCCGAAATTCAGACCAATAATTTCTTATACGCATTTTTTTTTTGCCTTAGTAATAAAAATCAGTACTTTATTATCATTAAATGAAAATTATATATTATTCTATACATAATTTACGACTGGTATTTAATTATATTTTTCGCTTCAAAATAGAATATCCTGCTCTACACTCTATATACAGTGTTTTACACTCAATATTTAAAGCGTTAAACATATGTTATCATCTTAAAAACCGATAACATCATTTTTCTTTTTTTTAGGAATTTTGTTTTTAAAGCGCCACGTAAACCTCGTGTTCTTCTCCCATTCATGGTGATGACTGGAATTACTCTAATTGTTGTTGTTACTTTGAACTTCAACGTTAATTACAAGCATAATAAACGTATCAAGCACTTTATATTAAAATGGGAATTGTTTCTCAAAGACAAAATACCTTCAGAATATGCACTTGAGCACTCGTTAAACAACAGCAATTCAAATAAGCGTAAGACAAATGAATATAACCTAACATTGAATAAAAATAATTCCAAACCTAGTGTGCTTTTGAAAGAAAGATCAGAAAACCACGTTAATAGCCAAATTCATGTGTTTTTAAATACCCCGTATATGTCCCAGAAGAAAGATCATCAACTCAGATGGTTGCACAACACGAATGAAAGTCATTCACATGATTTAATCATAAATAAACCCAACTTATGTGGTCCAAATCACGGATCATCTGTTCTTTTGTTGGTGCTCGTGGTAACCAGTCCACTTAACGTAGATGCTAGAAAAGCCATTCGAGATACGTGGGGAAAAGATCTAAAGACCAAAGGTGCCAAATTAGCATTTCTGTTGGGTATACCAAAAACGAAAAGTCTCCAACGGAAGCTCCAAGAGGAGGACTTTATCTATAAAGACCTCATCCAGGGGAACTTTTTAGATACCTACTTAAATCTCTCGACCAAAACCCTTGTTTTAATCAGATGGGCTTCTCTATACTGCCCACTGGTCAAATTTATTCTCAAATCTGATGATGACGTGTTCATCAACAGTAAAACATTACTCCAGGTTATAAACACGCGAAACGATTCTCACACTCTCTTAGGGCTACTGGCCCACAAATGGTCACCCCACAGGAATAAAAATAGCAAGTGGTATGTACCTCCAGAGATTTATCCCCAAGACTACTACCCAGATTTTATAGCTGGTCCAGCTTACCTTATTACTGGAGACTCTACAGCGTTGCTTTACGCAGCAAGGGAGGAAACACCACATATCTACTTAGAAGACGTCTATGTGACTGGATTACTTGCAGAGAAGGCTGGAGTCCGCCGCCTAGGTCTCTCAGGGATGAGTAATGACCGCCAGTTTTTCACAAATATTAGTTCTCTTATGTTAATAAATAGCCACGGACATAACCCTCAGTCGCTTCGCAACTTGTGGAAATGGTTTAATCTGCTAGACAAGAAAAGAATATTCAATAAACATTTAATGTAACTCTGCCATTGTGCTTTGATAAATGGAAAAATGAATTCCACTGTAAGTGTTTTTAACACGAACATAATTTTCGGATTTATTTAAAAAACACTAAAGAAGTTGTTTTCGTATTCACCTTTATACCAAATATTTGTTATCTGCCTTGTTAGTTATGTTAACTAATACTATATATATATTTGCTTTTCTAATGGAAAGTGAATTTCTATTTTTTCTCTGATTTGAAAACCGAATTGAAAAAATTAAGAAAAACTAAAAAAATGGAAACATTTGCAGTATAATGTAATTTTTGTCATGGATGTTAAGACATATTGAATTTCTATAAGTTTACATAACATATACTGTGAAGTAATGTGGAAAACCATTGTTATGATAATCAATAACAAATTTTCATGCACATTACATGATTTGGTACTATTATGTAATGATATACAGCACTCATGTATTTGTATATGAACGTGCCTGTGAGTATGTGTATGTTTGTATTCACTCATTTTTATCACAGAGAGAGGGCACTTGTTAACAGAATATACTCAGGTTTACTGTTACTAGCCGAGGGTACCCGATAAGGAAGCATAAATTGAATAAAGGACAGTGTTAAATAATGTTTCCCTTCCTTCTGTCTTTTGTTATTAAATCCCTATCGACCCCACTAGATTTTAATTACATACTCTGATTTGTGGAAGGTAATAATTGACTCATTTAACTGTTTAAGTACTTTTGTCTTGAAATTAAAAGTCGAAAGTTTATTAAAAAAAAGTGGAAATGGTCCCTATTTCAGAGTGTTTTGTATCCTCTTTCAAGGTTAAAAATCCTAAAATAAGACAGGTCATCTATACTGTTGGGCAGTTTACAGTTACCATACAAAAACTGTAACCGAGCCAGCTAATTCTGGGTGATGTAAGACAAAAGTCTATACAAAAAGTGGAAATGTTCCTTACATCAAAGTCTTTTTGATCTCCTTTCTCGGGTAAAAGTCCTAAAAAATAGCCCATTTACATCATCAGACAATTTCCAGTTGCTATACCGACAATTCGGTAATCGAAGCAGCCAACTATGGCTGATAAATGCTAACACACACACACATATACGCACATAATGAATCATCTTTATTGTAATATTTACGTTTTTTGTGGTACATTAAAGTATCAAGAACAAGAAGCTTAGATTTTTGGCTCTATGAGTGCTTATATACGATACCTATATCAACATATTGGTAAGCTCTGAGCCGTATCATGTAATACAGAAAGGGTGGATTGGGAGTCGTGTTTTTTAGCAAGGCTCTCCTCCTCTCTGACTCAAAAGAACAAGCGATTAACTCGTCGTTTTGTAACTGTTTTATCGCCTGTAAAGCAAATAACATAACCTCCACTTTTTAATAACGGACAAAACAGCAGTATCCATGAATAAGTAGATTAGAAGGAAACAAATAAATAATTTAGACTATTAAAAATATTTTATACTCATTTGTTTTCATAATTCACGAAAAACTAAGAAAGGTTAATAAACTTCCAATACATTTAGAGAATCCTCTTTTTATTTCTGTAATTTTCAATTCAAGTAAGTAAATTTTATGCGTTCAATGAAATGCTTCTAATCACTTAATCACGCACGTTTGAAAAAAAAAGCCATGTTTAAAAGAATATATAAATAAATAAAAAGTACTTCGTGGTAGCTGCTTTGACTCTTAAACCAACCAAGAGTCGGCTTTGATCGTGTTCCATTAAAGGAACATGTAAAAATCAAACAATATCCATAACGATTAAATAAATGAGAATATCAGCACTTAAAAAAAAGTGCTGCTAAACAATGAACATGTACAAAGTGTTAGAAAATTGTTTTTTCTGTGTAGTAAATACAACTGGTGGCAATGTGGAAATATTCTTAGCATTTTAAACAGTTTTTATTACCAATATAATTATTATTTAATGCCTCTGGAAAGTATTGGTTTTCCTTCAGATTTTTTGTATTAATACGTCTAAAATTTTGTCTATAGTTATTGAGATATATTCCACTATTGTTTCAAATACATTCAGAAACTAAGGCACCAGAAGCCAAAATATACACGGATGGGCAAATCCACCACCCACTGATGTTAGTATAGTATTCTAAGGAGAACTAATTTCGTACAGGTAAGAGGTTTGGTTTATGTTGAGTTTCGCGCAAAGCTACACCAGTCCCTAATTTAGCAGTGAAAGTCTAGAGGGAAAGCAGCTAGTCATCACCACTCACCGCAAACTCTTGGGATACTCTTTTACCAACGAATAGTGGGACTGACCGTCACATTATAACGCCTCCCCCTATAAAGTTAGAAGTAAGAATAGTAGCCACTTTAAGTAGACGTTTAGCAAAAAATGTTTTACATAGTTAATTTGGATGCTATATTGGCTTAAATAAAGAAGGAGATAAGCTGCAAGTTGTGTAATGAAATACAACTTTTTATTTATTCAATGAAACATTTATGATAAACAAAGTTATTCAATCGAACATATGAAAAAAAAACATTTAATATTAGCTCTTCTCTCTGTATGTGCAATTGAACCTTTATTAAGAGAAATATGAATCAAAGGTAATCAACAACTAATAAGCTCATTTGGATTAGGTCAAGTCTTCCAGAATGCACATGAACCCATATCTTCTGGCCATTCCATTAAAAAAATAATAATAAAGATAGAATCTGCAGGTATTTCTAAAACTCTCACATGTCACCAGAGAATAGAGTAGTAAAAGTCTAGGAACTTCTCTACACCACTTTCTGTGGAAAAGTCTAAAAACTCCAAGAGAAAATAAACCTTAACAGTGTATAACTAGCACAAGATTAACTTCACCTCATTACAAAGACAGTTGCCCCTCCCCAGTGGCACAGCGGTATGTCTACGGACTTACAACGCTAGAAACCGGGTTTCGATACCCGTGGTGGGCAGAGCACAGATAGCCCATTGTGTAGCTTTGTGCTTAACTTCAAAAAACAAAACAAAGACAGTTATATATACGGTATATGTTCAAAACGTACACAAATGCCTATAAATGCTAAAAGCTGAACATTTTAGTGAACATAAGATGTTCACCTGTATAAGCTACAACTGATAATAATTACAATATGTTTCTTGTTGATGCATAAGTAATTGTTCGATTATTGGTCAAAACAAGTGATAATTTTAGTAACTTCCTCAAGTTCAGTCAACATGTTGATTGGCTCTACAGCTATAATTGTTGGCCTAATCTAGCAAACAAAACTGGAAAATTTCTTCCACAGATGAAGCAAGAAGGACTGATGCAAAATGCAGGTGTTCATAATGTTTCTGTAAGTGTAAAGGTGGAAGTCATTATCACTGTGGAAAGCTTTGCTATATCACATGATGTGTGGATAGTTGACATTGGGAAAAGGTGCCTAGTGGGAGTATACTTCATATGGAAACACAAAAATGAAGTTAGACTCATTTAAATCAAATTATATGATCAGAAAATCCTTAAATGGATTACAAAGATGATAAGCTCCTGGTAACAAAAAGTAGGGCATTCATTATAAAAGAGGTGGAATATTTACATCTGTACCAATTAAAAACAACTTCAATTTTAAGACGAAATGGAATGTTTGGTTCTACCATGTTCCAATCACCACAATATTTACATCTGTACCAATTAAAACAACTTCAATTTTTAAGACGAAATGGGATGTTTGGTTCTACCATGTTCCAATCACCAGAATTGGAGTTGTTCCTAATTGTAAAATACGAGGTTGTAAAAGTAGTAGATTAAACCAAAGAGCACAGAAACAAGATATAGAAAGCATGATGTTAAATCTTCAGGTAAGGAGAGCTTACCATCTTATCTAGAGGTTCTGTATGACTAAAGCTCTGATAGTCTTATCATTGATCAATGCTACAGATTACATGAATTACTAATAGAATATCAAAATACCTTCTCTAATGTATCTCATGATTTAGGGCATGTAAATGTCATGATAATCATCCTGTAAATGCAGCCCATATGCATCAGTTGGCTAGGTGACTCCATTGTAAAGTAGGTTGATGTTCCCAATCAAGTGAAACAAACAACAACAAGGAAAAACAGAATCGAGTACTAGTACTCGGGAATTATTTATTGTATTTGTGAAAAAGGAGGATGGACAATATCCTATTTGGAGAACCAGAAGGTGAATAAATCACAAATAAGGGTGCCTAATCACTGCCAAAGACGGACAATACTATGAATGCTTTGCTCAGATAAAAATGGTTTAGCTTTGAAGCTAAGGGATGAATATTGGCAAGGGTAAGTTGACAAACCTAGTAAAAAAAAAGAAGAAAAAATGCCTTTACTGAATGGAATTGATTGTGGCAATTTGTCGTGTGACCATTTGGATCATATAATGTACCTGCTACATTTCAATGACCAATGGTGTATGCTCTCTCTGAACTACCTCGAACTCCCAAAATTGTCTTATTGGATGACATAATCACACATAGGAAGAGAGACCTTTAATAATTATTATGATTGTCTAAGGAAAGTTCTGTGTCAGTTGAATTCCAAGAAGTGTAAATTATTCTGTCAACAGGTGATTTTCTTGGGACACATAGTCAGTATACCTAGATACATTCAACAACTTTATAGATCTAGAACATTATTGTATAGAGAATTGAAAAGACAAATAACTAAACACGCGTAAAATATTGCACGTGGTTTACTCAGCATTCTCATAGACAAATATTAAAATGAATTAACTCAAAATTTCTTTAAAACTGAACACACACACACCAAACGTTTTCTTGTGTTTATGTAGCAATGTTTTAGAAAAAAGGAAAATTGCTATGGTTTACGTTTGTCTAAAAAATAATATAGCTTAAGCCAAGTATAACTTGTAAGATTTTAAAAATTTTCGAGTTGTGCTGTTTGACAGTCATTTTTGTGAATGGCGAGAACAGCTGTATTAACTGTATTAATATTCGACTTGTGTTAGGGTTACATACCACAGTAGCCATTTTATGGAGCATATTTTTGTTTTG